GCATTTGCATCACCCAAAAATTACGATTGAAACCTCACGACATGAACCAGCGCCATGTATCTGCAGTCTCGCCCTCGGCCACAAGTAGTGTGACCAGACGATGTAAGAAGAGCGAGGCTCTGGTTATTGACGGAGACATTGACATTTCTACAAACTGTCTCGACATGTCCAGACCACTATTCCGAAGCCATTCCGAAAAGATGGCCGCTGGTGATTTGTCAAGGGTTGGTATCTGAGAGAAGTTGGCCGTCGACGATTGCAGCATTTCTAGGCACAAGGCAGCCTTGGGCAGAGTGGCAGAACCAGCTGCAATCTCATTGACGAACCAGGCCATGGGATCCTTGATGACGTCGACTGCAGCTGACTCGGAGCCCCGCCGGCGCGGCTTCACAGCAAACAGAGGACTTGTGAGGATGGAGTCGATGTGTCGAGTCGCAGTGGCATAGGATGAGGCAGCGAGCATGGGAGAAGCGGCTCCATTTGTAGCGGGCTTTGCTGTTTTGCGAGGATTGTCTTCGGGGATAGGGAGAGGGTGCTCGCGGTCCAGGTGGGCGCGAAAGGAAGTGGTGAGCAAGTTGAGTAGCTGCTGGCTCTCGCGGGGTGACAGTGGTAGCGGCGGGTGGATCCTCGAGGACAGGCGGCTCAAGAGGCGGCGACTGGTGGTGGTGGTAGACTGCATTGGTGTTTTGTTGTTCTGCAGTCAGGGGGAGGGGGTGGAGTATACTGTATGATGGTGCAGGTGGAGTGGTGAGTGATGACGATGATGGGCGAAGGCCACGTGCCAAGCCATCTCTCATGATCGCCATACTACCTGGTAGCGCTCCTAGGTGGTCTCTGGATCGGTCGACTACGGTGCCTACATACAGAAATACGATTATATAAAGAACCAATCGCCGTGATTGTTTTTCTTCTTCTGTCTATACAGGTATCTAGGTATGTGGGTTCAATATCTGAATGTTTGCGTCGCTCTTTGATTTGTGGCTGGTGACTTCGTGTCTAGTGGCTAGTGGCTAGTGTTTTGTGGCTGTGGCTGTGGCTGGTGGCTGTCCGCATCTCATATGGGCACGTGACACCGCAGTAGCACTATGTACGGTATGTAGAAACTGGCCTTGCCTTGTTGCCGTGACAAGAAAGTGTCAGAGTCCTTGCGTGCATTGGCGCCCCTAGAGTACAATATCGAGAGTACAATAGCACACCTCCACAATACATTTACAATAGTAATAGTGAAACACACGCAACCAAGCACTGGCCAACGCGACTGTTGCCTGTCTGCCTTCAGGTGACGCCGTGGTGGGCGACTACAAAAAAGCGCCAAGCCCCCAAGCCATCGTGATCGCTTGTCCTTCTAGCTTTCCCCAACTTTAACGTGCTCCCTCTCCTACATCATCACCCACGCACGTCGTCCCCCTCCCTCCTCCCCCCCAACACCCACAAACACACCCAAACA